ATGTTTCTCTGTCTCTTTATTTCTATAAACTGGCAGTTGGATGAAAGGTTGAATTATATTCAGATTCACTGGGGAGAAAAGGGTTTTGTTTTCTTTTTTCCTGAGAATAGAGGTTTATAAAAATATTCTGTAGTAATATTTTGCTCTCCCATTAGGAATCATATATTATCTGATTGTCCTTTATTTGTATGTGATATTACCAGCTATTGATGCTCAATGCCTAGATCCATTAATTCATTAGGATTGCAAATGGAACTCTTTTTGAATTGGACAATGTTATAGACACACATATGTATGCATAAATCCATATAGACACATTTCTGGGAACAGAAGTATCTTAAGCCAACTCTTATCCTTCCTTTAACCACCTCTTTGTTTCATTTGTACTTGTTCTTGAACCTCTCTTGTTATATACAGTTCCCTTTTCTGTACAAAAACAAGATATATATGTAATGCAAAGTGATGGCCCAAATTTATAATAACAGCTTTCCAAGGGAATGTAGTTATCTTAGAGGAGGGGAGACCAGAATGAATTAAGAGGAAAGAAGCATTTATAAAAGATAAAGAGGCCACAAAAATTGTGTATCTGGGTTCCGCATAAATTTAAATCTGAATTCTTCCTGGGAAACATCCATATCAGAAAGGTGACATTTTAGAACTAGGAAACATTTGAGATTTGAAAAATTAGAACAGGAAGTGAAAAGAGAAACTGAAACATGCCCCTAGTTTTAAAGTTTCCTGGATGAAAACAATAAAAAATACATCAATTCACCCATGTGTCTGTAAGAACGTGGGATTCAATTGGAAGAAGGAGCAATTTGGGTGTTTTGGGTTTTTTTCCTTTCTTTCTTTCAGCAATGCCATTACTACTTAGGGTCATGCTGGGTAGTTTCATACCACCTGACCTAACAACTTAGAGACTTTTGAGTGACAGTGATAACATGCTGACTCCTTGTATGGGTGTTCTAATGTCTGTCACAACATGAAAGGTATTCATTTATCAGAAGAACAGAAGAATCAGATAAACAAAGCATGTGTATCTGATTGATTGCAAGGGTTGGGGAGGGTGTTTTCCTCTCATTCAATTCAAGATAAAAAATATTCACTCCAAATAAAATTTCAAATATGCTGTGTTTGTTTCCTCCCATTCCATGATGTAGGGTTTGGGGAGAGGTTCCTTTTTTCTAATGGCTTCATTGAGATACAACTCACATAGTATACAATTCACCCACTTAAAGTGTACAATTCAGTGTTTTTTAGTATATTCATAGGGTTATGCAACCATCACCACAGTCTAATTTTAGAATATTTCATCTCTCCTAAAACTAACACCATACTCACCAGCTGTCACTACCAACTTTCTGTATACCCTGTATACCCCATCCCCAACCCTAACCAACCACAAATCTACTTTGTCTCTATAGATTTGTCTGTCATGGACACTCATCTTTTAACTGCCATTCATAGCTTGTCCCACTGAAATTCTTTTTTTATTTCATTTTCTTATATTTCATAAGAACAAGAACAATTGAACAGAGTACTCAAAAATATGAATGAGTATTAAAAAAAAAAAAAAACCCTGTAGCAGAATAGCCCACAAAAATAGTGTTGGATCCAATAGCACCTGATGGCTTAAACAAATAATCGCCAAGCAGTGTGAACCTATAGGAATGATGACAAACTAAAGTATCATGAAAGTCAAATGCTAATAATCTTAAATATCAATTTGAAACCAGCTTGAGTTGCAGAAGCTTCTCTTGCTCATAATGAACTGCAATACTGGCAACCAGTAATACTTGCAAATTCAAATCCTGACTTTACCTCTCATTGACTATATGACTCTGGACAAGTAACAGAAGATTTATAAACTTAATTTTCCTCCTCTGTAACATGAGAATAATGATGATACCAATCTCATGAAGTTAGTGTGGAGATTAACACATGCAGAGCTTTTAGAACAACCCTGGTTGTATGCTCAATGGAGCATAATAAGTGCTCCATAAATTGTAGTTGTTGTATCACTTTTGTTCATAAAAACCCAATACTTCAGGTCAAATTTCAAAATGGAATTCTTAGATATGCCAGATTGCCACTTACCACATGTGATTGGTATTTTCAAAGTCTCTGTTCAAAAAGGTTTCCTGCCATGAAAACATTAGATCGAGATTTAAGATACTGCAATGTAGAGGAAAACATAGCATTGACCAACTATGATTTACAGAGATGCAAACCAGCATTCAGTTGCTTTAGAGCCCTGTGTTCTATAAATAGTAAAGGTGCTAATTTATTATTCTCACTTAACATTCATGTAACAGAATTTATTTTTTTAAATTAAAAAAATTTTTAACAGAAACAAAAGCTTATATAATGGCACTATACATGTCTAATAAAATATAAGGACTAGTGTTAGAGCATTATAAACCACATATATAACCTCCTATATTTGAAATTTTAACTAAGACTCTAAATGTGTGACTTTTAAGTCTGTGAATTTGAATGGAAATTGTGATTTGGTTTTGTGTCCATAAATGTAAGGCAGATTAACCACCAATGACTCTAATACCTTCTCGTTAATTCCAATACAAAATAACGTTGGGTAATAAGACTAGTGCATTAGATAATTTTATTTTTCAGGAATTATTATGTATTTTCTGTTTTTTTAAGATATGGTGCTAAATATTATTATATTCCAATCGGGTGACTCATGATACACATTTTCATACTTGGGAAATGTAAACACATTACAGTCCTTGCTTTGAAAAGAGAAAAGACTAAATCACAGACAACATATTTTCATTTTCCTTTCACCCCATGAGACAAGCTAAATGAAGTGGTTTGCATGTGGCCCCATTTTGGCCCTCAGATACCTCCACACTGTCCATCTGTGTCTACATTTTAGCCCCAGGCTTTACTTCTTTGGGCATTGTTTCATATTTGCATGAACGTCTGTAAAATCTTTTTTTTTTTTGCATGACAAGTCATCCATGATGTTGAAGTTAAATGTCTAACATACCTTGCAATATCACATGTCATTAATTCTTACATAATTTTTTTCTTTTATTTTCAGTTACTGAAGTTTAAATATGCTTGAAATGTAAAAGTGGCATGAAACTGGAGTGATGCAAGAATATTTAATGTTCCTTTAAGGACTTGTCATTTTTTAGCTGGGAAAATTTGGGGGAAAGCTCCCAGCTAGTCTTTGGACACAAATCCTTTGGACACAAATTATGGCAAAACTATATGGAACCTAAGTGCTGTCAGCAGAGTAATAAATTCTGAAGCAATACATCTTTTTACCCTGGGAATATATTGACATATTAAGTATAAAATATGTTCCCTAATTTCAAAGTTCTTAAGTATTTGATTTATTGTTTTTCTTGAAGCTTTCTTAATGGAACATAAAATTAAGCTCCACTGATTTTGGTGAAGTTCCTACCATACCCAAAAAAGTTACAAATTCCTGAATGAGAGTGCCAAAATTTTATCACTTTAATGTTTCCTAAGTAATCATGACTACCAAAATGGATATTTGAGAGTGCATGAGTATACAAATAAAATGAGTTATTTCTAAATTTGACTATTTAGTCAAGCTTCAGACCCATAAGGGCACCCAACTGATTCCCACCAATGGGCCAAAATACATACATCCAAACAAGTACTTCCCCTTGCAAGTAGTCACCCTGTTGACCTCACATTTATTACCACCAACTGCCATTGCTAAAACTATTCTAGAATACCCCTTGCCAGATTACCTTCATAGTCTTTGGCACATTCCTTTTAATACCTACGTGGTAACAAATCTTGCCCTTTGGAGAGTGACTCTCAGAGACAGTCCAATAAGGATGGTAATCAAGCTGGTGAAACATATTTTTAAATGATATGTGAATATGAAATTACAAAGACTCGCATAGCCTATAACTTGTAAAATGACTGTGAACACATTTCCCAAAGAAGAACCCCACAATGCATTTACATAACAGCAAGAGTGGGAATAAATGAAATTTTTCTTAAGGAGTCTTCTAGGCAAGCAAATAAATAATTTCTAATAGCTTTATTATATTATGTGTATCTGTATTACTTTAAATTCAACGTCATTAACCAAATGAAGTGGTTTACATTTTTAAGAAGAGTCCTTCTTACTGTATTTTTTATCATGTCAGAATATAGATGAATGACCATTATTCCTCCCTTTCCTGAGTGAATATCAAGTTAATATTTTCCAATATCAGATTTTGGTTGACAGTGTCCTAGCTGTCACCAACTAGCTCTGTGATATCAGCAAGGGACTCAGCTTTGCTGTGCCTCTGGCCCCCTGCCTACAAAATGAGGGCGTGGAGCTCTGTGTCTTTAAAATCTCTTTTGAGAAAATAATTATCGTATATCTATGTGTGACACTATAATTATCTTATATCATAAATCCACACACTTGTCTGTGTGTTTTAAATTAAATCCAAGCTGAAGTAACTCAAATGCAACTTCTTAAAAATGATATCCAGGCACTGATGTGTCTAGTATCTCTAAGAAAGTCTTTTCTCCCTGAAAGTAATGATGGTGATAAAGATCTCATTTGTATAGCACTTTAGTTTACCCTGCCTTACTTAAGTGTCACATCCTAAGAGCTACTATCATTATCCTCATTATGCAGATGAAGAAGATACTGAGGTCTAGAAAGATTCAGTTACCTGTCTAAGGTGATGGACTAGCCCATTGCAGAGCCAAAACAGAGGCTCCTGGTCTTCTGCTTCCAAGTTAAGGCTCTTTTCCTCCATCATCTTTTAGCTGCAGCCAGTCTTTTCATTAGGAGACAGGTTTTCCAAAGTGTCATCATTCAGAATTTACACTCCTTGAAAATAAAATCTACCTGTAGAGACACCTCTTTCGACTATTCCCTTGCGTCACTACAGCTCTCTCTGCTTTTACAAACTAGTTGTTTTGTCAGCATGAGTGTGACAACAATTAGACGTCCCCTGTTTTTGCCCCATGCCTTTTCTCCTTCACAGTCATTCAATGACAAGCGTAAAAAGAGCTTCATCTTTTCACGAAAGTTCCCATTCTACAAGAACAAGGAGCAGAGTGAGCAGGAAACCAGTGATCCTGAACGTAAGTAGATTCTCGAAGAGAATGTCACATGCAACACAAGAGAAAACAATTCTTCACGGGCAACACGCGTGATGTAGGCTCCCCCCACGCCACACACCTAGGCAAACAAACACGGCAGGCAGGCAGGTCAGGGCTTACTACTGTGACCAGTGTTTGGCTGCAGTCTGGATCCTTCCCTTCATGTGGCTCTTCTTTGCAGAATGCATGGGTGAGGGACTTCAGGAAGCTGGGGCTTGGCTTCCAACCAGAATTTTTCTGTGACCAGGGCTGAGTCTGCTTTGCCTCTTCTATCATACAGCTCTTGAGAGCTTGAGACAAATTCTTTTCTGAACAGAAATATCAGATTCCATTGCCACATGTATGTTTTGGAATTCTAGTTCATTGGGAGTGATTAAATTCTCTCTATTGATTACTAGCACCATGTTTATGCTCTCCCTCCCAGCCAATGTTAAACACTTACCAAGCAGCGAGCTTGTCTTGGTGAATACTAAATCTAAGAATTTGTCTTGGAACCTGGAGTGGACCATTGCTCTAAGTGGCACATTTCTGTGGCAACATGAACAGTGGACAAAAATGGCTTTTGGCGAATCTTCCTCTTTTTTATAACGGTCTTCTGATTTTTTTTTAACTTACAATCTTTTGAGTTGCTTTACAAATCTTTGAGTCTCAGCCCAGGGAGTTTGGGGTGAAAGTTGTTTCGAAAGAAGAGAGAGTGGGATCCAGATTGCTTAGGCAACACGGTCTGTCATGGTAGTATCCATTTCAACTCCACTGACTTCTTCCTTCCTCTTCCGTGGCTGTTCTTCCTCTCTCATTGCTCTCTCTGGGGACTTCCATGCAGGACATCCCCGGATTAGGTGACGACGGTTATGGAACAAAGACTCTGAGTAAGTTCCCAGGAATGGTCACTGTAACTTTTCTTTTCTTTTCCTTTCCTTTTGAGTTTGGCTTTTGTTCCTTTTCTTGAGGGCCTTTCACTCCTAGCATGCACAAGATACGAGTTTTATGTTACCTAGCTGTGAATGCTCCTCCAGAGTAATTTCAACCGTTTTGTTCTGCATGTCAGCATTGAAAAGCAAAGTGTGTCAGGCACTGTAACTTCTGTTGCAGTTCACACCTTCCCTTTCTGACCGTGTGATGTGGCCAACATGGTCCTGATGCCAAGGATGGCATCCCTTGCTCTACCGCCTAACACCTCCCAGAGAGCAAGAAGCCATGTTGAAAGAAAGGGCAAGCTAAATGTTTAGAACAAGAAAGCAGAAATTTACTTTATGTCCTTTCTTCTGCCTTTTTACCTAGAAATATTTGATGACCTGGCCAACTTCCATGATTAGGGTGTCCTTTGCTCTTAGTAAAAGAGCTGTTTTATTGTCAAAGGGAACATGCATTCTCAAAAAATAAACATTAAGCTATTTGATCTTCCAAGGGTAATTCTTTGCTGTTAACTACGGTTGATTTTTTTCCCCAACTTGCAGTGATCCTGCTTGGCATGTTGGTATGATAAAGTTTTAGATATGTATTAATATGTTTTTCTATCGGTAATTTATTAGCTGTATTATGTCATCAGGACTTCATTCTATAGTATAGAGTGCAAACTAAAGTATATTAAACCTTTAAATTTTCTAGTTATTAATGCCTTAGTCTGTGTCTCATTGCACTGAGCAGTAAAAAAAAATAATAATCCTATGTTAATCTATGCTATGATTTTTCTCTCTTTAATACTAACCCCATTGTATAAGCACCAATGAATAAGAACAGTATTGTGTCTTTTGCAACTGTATCACATGTTCATTTTTTGGTTGATTTTGTTTTGTTTTAATTTAACAGCTATGGGCAATATTTTTAGAAGCTATTCATTTCATTTGTATTAAACAAAATAGCTTTGAGCTGGACTTTGTTTTCAAGAGCTGTTTCTATAACCCTGTGTGATGATATGCTTCCTCCTTCAGATTGTTAATTTGGAATCTTTTTTTTAGATATATATAGAGAAAACAAAATCTGATCAAGAGAAACTACTGATTCTTTTTGAAAGATGAAAACTTTATCTTTGAGTCTCTACATGGAATGTGTCATGAAATTTTTCTTGAATTAGTGGCTAAAGTTCATACATTGATTTCAACATTATCTGGATAGCATCCAGTACCACCAGTTTCTAGATTTTCAACTGGGGCCGATGGGGGAGAAGAAGCATTTTAATACATTGTTAATAAATGAACATCACTAAAAAGTAGTTGCTATTAGAATGTCAAAAATATGTGATGACCCTTTAAATCCAGAATGTGTAAATGTTTGTTTACTCTTTAAAAACTGAACAGATTTCACTAGGTAAAGTTATTTGCCACTTAATGCTATTGTTAGCCATAATTTGCACTTTAGTTGGATTATATTTTCAATTTCTCTTTACGTACAAAGTGGAAAAATTCTGTTATACAAAGTCTTGATACTAAGAGAGATTGGCTAAGTAAAACACTGCATAGATAGTATAGCTTCATCCTTAGATATTTTACAAGCAAAAAATAAAAGACCAAAAGCCCTGTCATCCCAATTCAAGGTACTTGAGATAATCATGTACATGAAGATGTACCATTGTTGGGTGTGTACCTTGACGTTTTTTCAATAACGGAAAACAAATTCACACTTCTTTCCCTAGTGCCCCTTTGCACTTGTGTGCCTAAATTAGCAATGTAGTGCTGGTCATACACACACCAACACAAAGAGAAGTAAGGCATGTGATTTTGTGATTTTTAACCCATGTTTTGGTTTTCCTTAGTTTCATTCTCTAAAACTAATCCTTCTAGGATGTATTAATTAACTTGATTGTGAGAATCCTTTCACAATGTATGTGTGTATCCCATCATCACATTGCGCACTTTAAATGTATTACAATTTATCTGTCAATTACACCTCAATAAAGCTAAAAAAAAAAAAAAAGCAAGAACAATCCATCCAATTGGTGAAAATCTATAACACCAAATACATTTTAAAGCACTCTTTTAGGGGCGCCTGGGTGGCTCAGTCGGTTAAGTGTCTGACTTCACTTGGGTCACGATCTCACGGTTCGTAAGTTTGAGCCCCGCGTCAGGCTCTGTGCTGACAGCTAGCTCAGAGCCTGGAGCCTGCTTCAGATTCTGTATCTCCCTCTCTCTCTGACCCTCCCCTGATCATGCTGTCTCTCTCTCTCAGAAATAAATAAACATTAAAAAATATATATCTTTAAAGCACGTTTTTACTGTGAGAGAATAATGTTCTATATTATTTCCTTTTCAAAAAATGTCCAACAGTTGCCACATTTTTTAAATTTTTTATTTATTTCTGAGAGAGAAAGAGAGATATCATAAGCAGGGGAGGGTCAGAGAGAGAGGGAGACACAGAATCCAAAGACAGACTCCAGGCTCTGAGCTAGCTGTCAGCACAGAGCCCGACGTGGGGCTCAAACCCACGACCTGCGAGAACATGACCTGAGCCGAAGTTGGACGCTTAACCGACTGAGCCACATAGGCGTCCCCAGTTACCACTTTTAAAAAGCCTGATGAGCATCAGAAGTCAGTCACATATTCTTCATTTAATTAACCTGATATACAAAGAACTTGATAACTTAATGAATATTTATCTTCTATAACTTAATACAGAATACAAATGATATGATTTTTGGAAATAAGCTCTAAATCTGACATTTACATACCTGTTATATCAGCTAACCTCTGGGGTTTTTAAAAAAAAAATTTTAATGTTTATTTTTGAGAGAGAAACAGACAGAGACGGAGCATGAGCAGGGCAGAGATAGAGAAGAAGACACAGAATCCAAAGCAGGCTCCAGGCTCCAAGCTGTCAGCACAGAGCCTGATCCTGAGCTCGAACCCGCAGACTATGAGATCATGACTTGAACCAAAGTTGGACACTTAACTTACTGAGCCAACCAGGTCCCTAACCTGTGTTTTTATGAAAAACAAAAACTAAAAACAATTTAAAGTATCAGTGTACAAGCGAGTTATTTAACATGAATTAAAAGCATATTTCATGCCAGGACCTGTGTTTGGTATCAGACCATTGATCCCCTGCCTGTTTCATTCCTCCAGAACCTAATAGCTATCCAAGCAAGAGTCTTTAAAATAAAATCAAGAAGATATTGAACTGAGTCTTAAAGCCATTTTTCAGTGACTCATTTCTTCCTCCAAGATTTTCTCCTCACTCACTGAAGCAGGAAAAATCTTCAACAGTCCCTTTTCATCCTGAGAATTAGTTTATGAAGCATCTACATAGAAATAAATTTCAAGGGATTCCAGGGATCAGTTGGCAATCTGAAATACAATATTCCTGCAAAATACCTAAAGGCTAAAATAGAGAAACAAAAAGCTTGTAAGATAAGTGTCTACACGCCAGAAGCTTCTGAACTCAAGAGTCAGGAAACGGTCCAACTGAGACACATTGACCTTTGTAACAGGAAGCTGGAAAATCAGGCCCATATGAATAGGGCTAACGTATTTATAAAAAGAAAAGTGCTTAGATGGACATTATGCATTTTTTGTAATTAAAGATACTTTCCTGTTTACTAAAAAGAAGCCATAGCAATCAAGTAGCCGCTTCCTGTGAAATGGAGATAAAGTTTTCATCTTTGGTATCTTATCGGAGTTTTCTTAATGCTGTCTCTTCTGCAGCCTCTCCCTTGCCTTCCGCTTACACTTGTAGTAGCCATGCATGAATGTATTCCTTCGCGTTCTGGCTGCTCTCCAATGCTTGGTATTTCTTTAATTTGCTGTGCTGTTCTTGCAGAACATGTTTCTTCTAATGCCAGCGATAGCGAAAGTAGCTACCGTAAGTTATTGCTTTGGTTTGTGGTTCTTTTCTTTGCAATTGCTCCATTGCCTGTGGTGGTCATTTCAGATTTTTGCTGTTGTGTTCCAGTTGCTGCCCTTTATCATCCTCATCCAAAGCAAATGGCTTGAAATGAAATCGTCTTTTGATGTGGAAAGATACAAAAGACACTAGGGCCATCTGTGGAC